TTATTTTAGCTAGGCAAACATGTGTTACATTTGTTTATGCTACAAAATATTACTTTAACGTGTAAAGGTGTGTTATATCCGTTTATGCTGCATTTGTTTAATGATGTAAAGATATGTGTTTAATTATGCAAAGGTCTGTTGCATTTGTTTCACCTTGCCCTTGATGGCCAATAGCTAGGCAGGAAAAGTATAGGTGGGGTTACAAGGCTAAGAGAATAAATAGGAGAGGAATGAGAAGGAAGAGGAAGATAACAAGGAAGAAAGACAGGGACATGCCTGGGGCAAGAAGCTAGGCAGCCACGAGTCAGCCCGACATGAGAAGTAGTGAAATTAAGATAAAAGAAGGAAAGAAAAGTAAAATGTCCCAAGACAAAAGGTAGATAAAGAGAAACCAGTTAATTTAAGTTGAAAGAGCTAGCCAGAAATGAGCCTAAGATAGGCCAAGCATTCATAATAAATAAGAAGTCTCTGTGTCATGATTTGGGAGCTAGTTGGTAGGTGGCCCAAAAGAAAGAGCCTGGTACATCCAGGGCCGTGAAGACCCTGAGAAGCAGGTAGCCTTCCTGCCCACAGCCTAGTCTTTTCGTCCCTATGAAGCCTCCTTGGCTCCTGGGTTCTGCGTGTTGGAGCTTTGAGAGTGAGCTCTCTGCACCATCTGGGTTGCTGGCTTTTAAATAAACCCGATTCCCTACCCGCCAGCTCTCATCTCCCAAGGACCGGCTTCCAGGAGGGGAGTGGCCTGCCTCTGGGTCTGGTTTGGTGACAGAGCTACAGAAATGAATGGAAAGTGTCATTTCCAGTGACACTATATTGTAGGGTTTTATGCCTTACGATAATCAAGATCAAAATTATCAAGGGGTTATGAAGGTTGTCTCTGATAGTTGGGTAGGATTGTGGGTGTTTGGGGCTCAAGATAGAACTCCATGGTAGACTACTCACTCAGCACACACATGACATTTACCAGTATTTTCCTGGGTACTGGTATATATGTTTACAGTTAAGTAAAGGTAATAACATTTTACAGCAGGAAACAAAATTTACAGGAGGGATGGTCTTGTATGATTGGCATTGCCCCATCTTGTTTCACCTTTGTCTCCAGGACCATTCCCATGTGCCCCTGGAGTCCCAGAATCCTTTGCACTTTCCCCAGCGTGGCATTTACATTCTGCTTTTGATAACTGTGTTCACTTGGAAACATGATCAAAGATGGAGCCTGGGTCTGGAGAGATGGCCCAGTGATTAAGAACACTGTCTGCTCTTCCAGAAGGACCTGGGTTCGATTCCCAGCACCCACATGGTGACTTACAGATCTGTAACACCAATCCCAGGAGATCCAATGCTCTCTTCTGGTCTCCTCAGGTACTGCACATAGGCATGCAGGAAAAATAACTATGCACATAAACATAATTTAAAAAGATCCTTAAAGGTGGAGCCTGCTCACTTCCCATGGACTCAAGGTGTCTTGCGTCGGGCTCACCGCTATGGCTCATGGGAAGGACTGAAGGCCCTGGGGTTAAGATGCAAACTCTGCATATGCAACTCACAGCCCAGGACTGTCTGCGCCACGTAGCAGTTATCGTGGGGCAGCCCCCCATGTGGGGACCTCAGTCGCCGGGCTCACCCCCAGCCTGGTATTTCCAGATGACACATGTCTTCCACCCTGTGGCTGCTGCTAAGGATTGATGGGGGTTAGAAGGAAGCTGTGTTTGTTGAGGTCTATACATGCCAGACCCTTGTTGGTCAAGCCTGCACTACTTCCTGCGCCTGCCCAGTCCTCTAGGGTGCATATTCTAATCTCTGGTGGGTAACTGGTGTAGCTCATGGCCACCAGCAGATCCTGTGTCCGGGGCTGTGGGGTTCCATCCCAAAACACTGGTCAAGAAAGGCCTGTCTGAGGGGCTGGAGAAATGGCTCAGAGGTTAAGAGCACTGACTGAGTTCAATTCTCAGCAACCACATGGTGGCTTACAACCATCTGTAATGAGATCTGATGCCCTCTTAGGCCCTATTCTGGCCTGCAAGCATACATGGGAGGAATGTTGTATACATAATAAATAAATAAATCTTAAAATAAAAGAAAGGCCTGTCTGAGTAGGTGACATGCCAGGGCCAGGCACTAGGAAAAGAGTTGTCCCAGTGACAGGGACACATGCTGGGGACAGGACATAACTTACAGGTATGTTCCAAGGGTCCCCAGAGAGCCTCTGCTTCCCTTGAACCTGGCCAGAATGGTATGTTCCCACCATGCCAAGGTCCATGCCCAGATCTTGAGTAGCTTCATCTCTGGTCTCAGTTTCTCCTGTGTGATGTGCTGGGGATGAGCAGGAGACTCTTCTGGGCTCCGCAGCTTAGAGGACAGAGAAGGACCATGGGGAGATTGGCGACTTGGTGGCAATGGGAACTCCTTCCCAGTTCAGGTAATTTGCGGATAGTCCCAGCTGGGAGCTGTTTGCAGGAATGGGAAATTCCCACAGCAATGACCTTTGGACCTCAGAGCTGCCAGTCAGTGTGCTATGGCCCCAGGTGTAGACGCCACCCCCCCCCCTCCTGCTCACTGATGGCCTTTCTGACTTAGGTCCCTGCTAACACTCCAAGATTCGCCAGAGACCTCAGGGAGCACATGGCCCTGATGCTGATGCTGACAGACCCCGGAGTCTTTCTTCCAGCAGGCCGTCTACATCCACAGTGGTGTGGGGGCTGTGGACCCCCAGACCCTGAATTTCCTGTAAACAGTTTGTTTTTCTATGCTTGCAGCCGCTCTGAGCATGAGACCCTCAGGAGTTCCTGATGGCAGGGGAGTGGTTTCTGGTGGGTTTGGCTGGGGCGTGGCTATCAGTTAAGGATCCCTATATAAGCTTCCCTGGAACACAATAAAGGGGGCATTCTTCGGGAATTCAAGAATGACCCGTGTCCTCATGTCTCTGTCTCTCTGTCTGTATGTGTGTCAATCTCCAGGCCCTTGCTCGAGACTGCGAATCGTCACATAGTACAGGCATGTACCACAGTGCATAGTGAATAGCATGAAGCAGATGGGGTGTTGTGCTTTACATGGTGGCCACACCTCCCTTTGCTGAGAAAGCTCTCTCTCCCTCTCTCTCTCTCTCATGTTTGCAAATGTGTAAATGTGTTGGCTGGAAATTTCAGGGATGGGAATTCTTGGTGCTATAGAGCTCACCATAGGAAGTAGTTGAAGGATAAACAGTCTATGAATTTTATAGTCTCTGGGCCTAAGGCCTGGCTTTGTGTTCTTTATGACTTAGTTTCCTCATCTGAACCTGGACTCAGCCAGAGGACAGAGTGCATGAGGTCAGAGGTCAGGACGCTTCTCCTGACCCACAGGGGTCATGTTTTCCTGGTTCACTCAGCACCCACGCTCCTGCCTCCTTGGGTTTAGATATCTGGTTTCTCTCTTGCTTCCAGGATGCTCACCCTGACTTGAACTCTTAGGCTTGTGCCTCACCCTGTAACAGCACCTCATTCAGGTGCTTTGGAGATCAGCTCAGCCTCGTCTCACACTGCGCTCTGGTCCTCCACTAGCCATCAGCAAAAGAAGCCGGTGTACCTTCCTGGTGGACAAATCAGAGGGAGAATTTTTGTTTCCTGAGGCTTGGGTCCTTTTTACAGTGTATGACCTAGGCAACTGAACACAGAACGCCTACCTTCTGTGTGCCAAGCCCCCCAGACAGCTTTGACATCTGGAAGGAACAGAAGATACATGGACTCTGAGCAGGGCAGGAGTGTAGGAACCCCAGTTTTGCTACAAGTGGGGCTTATGATTGCCAGGGACAATCATAAAGATTGACATAAATGAGTCCCAGAAGGAGGGGACAGAAGGATGAATGAGGCCCTCCTGGGCTGGGCTAGCCCTGTGTTTAGTGGCCCTGGAACCTCGGCCTCCACATAACAGAGCCAAGATGTCAGCAGGTGTGTGCACCCTTCCTTAGGAGGACCACTCACCTGCTTTGCTCCATCTTTGCTGTCAGCAGCCAGGCTGAAGTCTGAATTCCAGAAACCCCCCTCCTTCCAGTCACTCTGTTCCCCTTTTGCCTCTCCATAGCTGTCTGATGTCAACTAAAATACCATTTGAAAAACTAAACTGATCTTATACCCGGGCCCCACCACCGGCTTCAACCTTTAGATGTGTTCTTGTTTATCATTCTGATCTCAGACCAAAGGTCCCCAGCCCACAGAGGCCTTGGGGCCACTTAATCTATATATACATCTAACAGGCTTGGGCAGTCCTGAGATGTTACAACATTAGATGTCTCAAGGAAGGAAATGCCCCAAAGCCCCCAGTAAGATCTAACACTAGTCCTGGACAGCCTGGAACTGATGACTCCCACGCTAGGGACTGGAGAGCCTTAGCTCGGCCCTCCTGCTTTTTGGGTCACGTGTTCAACTGCCACCACGTGGTAGTGAGAAACAGCAGTCTCAGCACTGGCCACAGGAAGTCAACAGGCCGTACAGGAGCGCCAGCCAAACAGCGACACCAGGTGGTAATGATAGGAACAACAGCCCAGTAGACAAGCCCCCTCTCAAAACTGCTCATCCCTTCATTTAAGAAAGCCCCAAGGATACTGGCGGGACTTTGTGCTAACACAGGTGTAAGGGATGTAAGAGTACACGTGCAGGCCATGCTGACGACTGCCAATAAGCCCATCAATGAATGGACAAGAAGTCACACCAACACACAGGATGTGCAGGAAAAAGACAGGTGCTTTTGCAAAGTCCAAAGTAATGTCACAGTTCCAGCAGAAAGGCCGGTGCTGGAGGGGCCGCACTGAAAGAGGCGTGGAGCCCTGGCATACAAACCTCCCTCTTTTCCTGTGCTCAACTTCCACTGGCTTGGGTGATTTCTAGAGCTGAGCTTGGGGAAGAGATCAAGGGACTGGGGGACAGGACCAGAGACTAAAGGATTCCTGGAGCAGGATGTCTTGTAAGTGCAGTGGCCCCTTTGGGAGCAGATGCAGGGCTCCCAGGCCCAGGGCCTGTGGTGATTTCTCAGGTCCGGTGGACATCTGCTCCAAGTACCAGGAAATTCTAGGGAGAGACAGACACCGTTAGCTGAACTGCACCCTGGATGCTGGGTTGGGATTTTAAGAAGGGTGGCCTGGCTGGGAAGGTAGAGAGTGATGGATGTCACTTGCCACCTCTGACCTTCACATACATGTGTGCACACATACATGCTCACATGCACACACACGTGCATCCATACACATTCAGACGCAGCCATACACACATACACACATTTAAGCATACACATACATACGTTTAAGAAAAGCAAACTTGGGGGCCTGGCTAAGATGGGGGCGGGCTGAGGCCAGTCTGCTTGAGAAGGGCAAGGGTGTCAGCATTTGGGCCTCTGTGACTGCAGTGACAGCTGGAGATCCTGCCAGCAGCTTCCCTTGTAGGTGTTCTCTTGGCCACCTTGGGGGCCTCTGTGTGTCACCCCTGCCTTGCAGCAGCTCAAAAGACCTGGTTCCAATCAAGACTGAAAAATTCCTTTGACCCAGTCTCCTTCCCTCTGTTTCTAAGTGAAGCGATTAAATTTTGCCAGGGGCTTTTTTTTTCTTTTTTTACGATGACCTTGATAAAATTCAGAAACAGAGATGCTGTTGGGGGAGGGGGGCAGATTCCTCTGCTCTGTTGCCTGTTTTCCGGTCTCATCTTTAGCTGCTCCTTGGTCTAAAGAACCAGGATTGACTGCCACCATGCATTAGAGAGAGGAACTTGGTGACATAGGACTTTCTCAGAGGGGCCATGTGTCAAAAAAGCAAGCTGTCAACAGAGGCAGGAACTCGGGGCCAGGTGAGGGCTTCCCTGTGGGGTTATGGGTTTATTGGGATGTTTAGGGATGAAGAGGTACAGACACTGCAGAAGGGAGGTGGCCGACATGTGCAGCACAGAGGAAAGCTGGGTGCTGCAGGGGTGGATGCTGAGCTTGGTGAGTTGCTGAGATCGACCACAAATGCCAATGACCTGGGGAGAAGATGCCTGGGGAGGAAGGCCTGGATTGCTGGTATGCAAGGAGCAGACAGAATGAGAAGGGGAGACTGAGACAGTTGAGGGAAAGTTCCCAGGAGCCCGGGAGCCTGGAAACTCAGAGGAAGGTGTGCAAACATCAGGGTGTCACATTCCTGCAGGACAGGCGTGGATAGAATTCTTTATGTAAACGTACCAAGGTGAGGCTGGTGCGTCAGTGCTATAAACAATGCTCTAGGTGATAGTTTCCTGTGAAAGACTACACTTCCCAGCTTCCCTTGTGGACTACAGAAGTCATTTCCACCCCTACAAGAGGCTGCATCCCATAGCAGGGCAGTGGTAGCACACACCTTTAATTCTAGCACTCAGGAAGCAGAAGCAGGTGGATTGTTGTGAGTTTGAGGCCAGCCTGGTCTACAGAGTGAGTACCAGGACAGCCAAGACTATTTCATGGAGAAACCCTGTCTCGAAAAACAACAACAAAGTCGCATTTCATCTTCTGCAGGTGTGCAGGGATTTTGGTCAACCACACATGTGGGTAACAAAGACATCCCTTATCTATGTATGAACATGATCCCTCCTCAGGTAAGATCAAGCCTTTCTTTATTCCACCCTCTTACTCTCTCTCCAGTTGCTTTTTGTTTTTTGTTTCGTTTTGTTTATTTTTTTTTTTTTTGTTTTCCGAGACAGGGTTTCTCTGTAGCTTTGGAGCCTTTCCTGGAACTAGCTCTTGTAGACCAGGCTGGTCTCAAACTCACAGAGATCCGCCTGCCTCTGGCTCCTGAGTGCTGGGACTAAAGGAGCGCGCCACCACCTCCCGGCATCTCCAGTTGCTTTTTAAAATAATCTGATATTAGGCACTTAAACACACCCACCTAAAAAGAATTGTGTGGCTACTTGGTGAGTCCACGTTTACAGGAACAAGCAACAGCCCAGGTTTCCTAAGTGCCAACTCTTTCTGGTCCTAAGGATGTTGCGAAGCTAGGAAGGGCTCAGTGCAGGGTGTGGCACACAGGAGGCTTGACAACAGTGGGTGGCTATTCTCACGGGCCACTTGGTGACCGGAGAACTTGGGGACTTACCTGGTAGGACTGAAACACGGGGTTGTTGAGCCGGACCCCAGCAGGCAAAGGCAGAGGGAAACCTTTACGCAGCCTCTCTATGGTGTGAGACAAGAGGGGCACATGAAGCAGGGGCCAGCACAGGTTTGCATGCCGGGAAGGAAGGTTGCCCTTGTGTCTGTGCACTGCCCCTTCTATTCCACTGACCCCCAAGCCCACATGCAGGACAAGTGGGCCTCTCCCCAGTGACTTCTCTTTTGACGGTACACACCATTGCTCTGTGCCACACCTGAGTGAAACTGGGGGCTCTATAGGCAGAACATGGACCTGGGATTGGGGGTATCTGTACATGGAACCCCTCTGTGTTGCAGACGAAGATGCGAATGGGCAGTAGCTGGGGGAACAACACCTGCACCCCATAAACTGAGGTGGAACTGACGCATACAAGCACAGGGGATAGTTTTGTAACCTGGAGTGGCCTGGGTCAGCCCCGAGGAATTTGTCCTAGACCCATCTGGCCCATGAAGGTGAACTTGGTCAGGTCAGTCTCGGGGCTGCTGGTGTGAACCCCAGCTTGGGATAGATGTTAGTTTTACACCACCCTGAAAAAGTCACTCAAAAACAACCCCCCCCCCCCGCCACCTCCCAGGCAGGAGTGATGTAAGGGATGGGAGTAAGGGAGGAGCCCAGGGCATGCCGGTTCCTTTTGTCCTCTGAACTTTTGGGTCATATCATTTAAGGTCACTTGAGGGGCCCCATCCTCTGGCCTCTAACCCAGGCCAGGAACCAGGACCTGCAGGCAGGTAACCCCACCATTGGTTTTTTCAGAGTTCCTTACCATTGATCTTGGGCAGCACTATCGTGGGCATGAGGTAGTTTATGACAGCCTGCAGCAGCTCCACCTTCGGATGGGGGGGGGGGGGCTATGTCATCAGGGCAACCACCCTTCCTTCACACCTCATCTCCCTGCCACCCGACTCTCCACAGCCTCCCAACCTGGAGAAGCACCCAGAGTGGGCACAGGACAGACAAAATATGAGGAAACCAGGCAGCCGGTAAGGCCATAAGGACACAGAAGGTAGGGAGACTATGAAAACTACAGCGGTCAATAAAGGTGTTGCAAATGAGCAAGACATGGGGCATGCTTGTGATTCAGAGGCTGGGAAGGAGCATCGTGAGTTTGAGATCAACACAAGACTCCTGAGACCCTGAGCCCTGGCTTAAAACAAATAAACAAGCCAGGCATGGTGGCACATGCCTTTAATCCCAGCACTCAGAAGCCACAGGCTGGTGGAAGGTGATCTCTATGAGCCTGGTCTACATGGTGAGATCCCGGCCAAGGTTATAATGGTAAAACCCTGCCTCAAAAAAACAAAAAGCAAAGAAGGAGGAGAAAGGGAGGAAGGGAGACAGGGAGGGAGGAAGGGAGGGAGGGAGGGAAGAAGGAAAAGAGGAAGGAAGGAAGGAAGGAAGGAAGGAAGGCCTTTATTTCAAATGTGTGTTTTTTTTAGGCAGTAACAGACTTCATACATCCTTCCTGTTGGGGGCCGGGGAGCAGGCAATAACATGGAGTAAAAGAAAAACCTGAGAAGCAAGATTCTTCCACAAGACAATTTAACACAAATAATAAACCAGCAAAACTACCAAGTGCAACAGCAGGGCACTCACTTGGGGATGTGGCACAACTTGATACCAAGCAATAGTAGGGAACCATTAAACAGGATATTGTAGGAATGTAACCAAAGTGTGAGGCAGGAAAAGGAGGTTCTGGGGACCAGGGAATTCTGAATTTTAATTAAAGAGGCTTCCTGAAAAGCCAGGAAGGCTGTATTCTGAATCGGGAGTCAAATGGTAGAAACACAAATGAGTTTCACCGCTTGGGTTTGCAGAAGTGCAGGTTCCCGGTGCTCAGGGCTGCATATGTGTTGTTTTGATGACAATAAAAATAAACAAATAAATAAATGATAACCTGGACCCATCAAGATGCCTGCCTGGAGCAGTGACACTTACAGCTCGTAAATGTGTATGCTTTTATTCCTGGAGAAGCCGTTATCGCTCCCCAGGCTGTGCTCCCGTGGGCATCTCAGTTCGGTCCCCCCTAGCTCTACATCTGGGAAAGCCCATTTTCATTTTCTGCGGGAGCAGAAGTTAGTTACCAGCCGGAGGCAGCCTAGGCAGGGGGAGCCAGAGGAGCCCCAGGAGGGGCAGCCTAGCCTTCCATTTGCTATTATCCCAGATGGATTCTCAGCAGACTTGGAGGTGGCAGGCTGGGACCATGTGATTCTCGAGCTGGTGGCTCCAAGGCCCTCAGTGGGGAAGGGGGTACTCTTCAAAGCAGTGGGAAGCGGGGTCTGTCAGTGCTCAGGAGTCTCAGCCTCCAGGGATGTGCACTGTGTGGAGGTGCCACACGGATGGGTCTGTCTATGTGGAGGGAGGAGGACAGTGCTCGGGCAGCCAAATAACTAGACCTCTTCTGGCTCACTTAGTCACTTAGCCACAACCCGGATACCACCATGATGCCTTCCCACAAACATCTTCTCCCATCAATTCCACCTAAGCCTCTCCTCCAAATCCCTCCTTCCTCTGTTCCTGGCTTTATACCCTGTGGTTACACTCTTGTGTCCTGTGGCTGTTCCCCTCATCTGACCACAGGACCCTAAGAGTGGCATAGACCACAGCTCCTTGTTCTCTGTAAGGACAGGCTCCCCAAGGCTGCTCACTGCCCTTGAACTCTATCTTCTCGCCTCCATCTTAGCTAGAAAGCCCTGGGCGATCCAGCTCTAGCCTGCTTCATCGGCCACATCTCTTACATCCTCTCCTCATGGGTCACCAGCCACCCTAGTTCCTTACATTCCACACACATGCCAAGATGGTCCTGCCACAGGGCCTTATGCCCCTGCTTTTCCCACTGCTGCTGGCTCATTCTCACGGCCAAATATCACCTCCTCAGGGTGGCCTTCTCTGATCTCACTTGCCTGCCTCTTTCTTTGAGACACAGTCCCTCTATGTAGTCCTGGCTGGTCTAGAATTTACTATGTAGACTAGGCTGATCTTGAACCCACAGAGATCTGCCTGCCTCTGCTTCTCAAGGACTGTGGGATTAATGCACTCAGCTTGATCTCATCGCATAATACCTAGGAATAGGGTCTCAGTAAAATAATTAATTTGTCCCATCAATAAACACATCAAATAGCACTTTGTGTGTGTTTTGTTTCAGTGGAATCCCAGCACACAAGTCCAGGTGAGGAAGAAATGAGTTCTGAGAAGGCAAGCAACTGGCCTGAGGCCACAGGGTTTATAAGAGGCAGGGACTCTGGCTCAGGTGGCCTGCCTACAGAGCAAGCTATGTGCGGGTGAGCCAGGAGCTTCCTTGACAGGGCTCAGACTCACCTTAAAGGAGCCGAATTCAGACTGCTTCAGTTCTAGCGTCAGCCTGCAGGGAGGGGAGACGAGGTCGTCCAGTGGCCTGAGTGGCTGGGAACCCACCCATGAATACCACCCAGGCTTCTGACCCAGTATGCTTTCTCAGCATGCCCCAGGCTCTTCCTTGGGGGAGAGTCACATGTTCCCAGAATGGTTAGTGTTCCTGACCAAACCCTAAGCTCTGAGCACAGCCCGCCTCCCTGCTCAGTGCTGGGGTGTGTGTGTGGGGAGGGATGTGCTGCCCAGTGGGCGCTGGTCGCAAGGCTTCTAGAATAGCAAGCGAGTGTCTCTCTCCTGCCACATGGGATGTTGCCGGTGGGGACAACCTGCAAGGAATGAAGCCAGCCCAGGGGACAGCAAAGCCGAGAGACAGAATGAAATCACCCAGGCACCAGGCTCTACTCAGCCTGAAAGCCTCGGGCTTCTCAGTTAGATGAACCCATAGCCTACTTACTAAAGCCAGGCCATTTGGGTAAACAGGGACATGTGGTCACTTATGTCTGAGCCTGGGGAGTCGCTTGTCTCTGAGCATCAGTTTGATTCCTTGTTTCCTTTGGCAGTGCTGGGGAGAAAACCCAGGGCCCCATACGTTCCAGGCAAGTGCCCTACCACCAAGTCATATTCTCAGCCCTTTCCAGTTTTGCTTTGGGACGGTGTCTTACTAGGTTGCCCAGGCAGGTCCCAGTTCTCCTGAGTCACCACCTGTGGCTTGCAGCAAATGGGTTCGGAGCCCACTGCACACCATCTGAGGCCTGGTCAGGTGGACTAAGGCCAGGACTGGGTGTTGAGTGCGTGGAAGGCCACTGCTCTCTTGTGGGCCCAGGAATGGATGAACACTCACTCACCTCCTCCTGCACCCCCCCACTACTCTCTTGCAGGCCCAGGAATGGATGAACATCCACCTCCCCCCTCCACTACTCTCTTGTGGGCCCAGGAATGGATGAACACCCACCTCCTCCTGCCCCAGGAATGGATGAACACCCACCTCCTCATGCCCCCAGGAATGGATGGACACCCACCTCCTCCTCCCCCCAGGCTTACTTTTCCATCTTCATCTCTCCAACAAGCCTGTCTGCTTCAGCGTCCACTTCCAAAGAGGCAGTTGTGTTCTGTAAAGCAAGTGATCCAGATAAAGAGCCTGACCCCTGGCAGGGGAGGGTCAGCAGAGTGACCACACCTCTGGGTCACACCCACAGAGCCCCAGGAAGCAGGGAGAAAGGCTTTGGCCTTGGGGTTCTGTCAGCCTGGGAAGAGGCAAGGGCTGAAAGTCCTGCTGGCCTGTCAGCACAATAGCCACTGACTGCTTCCCTCAAAAGCTACCAAGGAAGAGAAGCCCCACCTCAGCCCCCTGGCCTACCTATGGCCTCAGGGAACTGAATCAGAACCCATTTCATCTGACCAGTGAGCTACAGCTTGAAACTGGGCAGACCGGCCACACATCTCTAGCACCCCCTGCTGGGAACATCCCTGTAGATGCTCCACAGGCCTCTAGTGTCCCCTACTAGGGGAGATGCTGGACACATGCAGAGGCCACCAACAGGGTGACCCAACCAATGGATACAAATCAGCAGTGGAATGAAAATTTGAGCAAATTAAGGGTTAAGCAAATTCACAAATGAAGGAGTACTCCAAGATATGCATGGATGAATAAGTGAAGACGGACCCGCTGAACAAAGGGTTAAGCAAATGAATCCGTGAGTAATTGAATAAGTAATGGGCATAGGGGCCAGAAAAGGGACAGCATATTTCACGTAAGAATGAGTAACTGACTTAATTAAAAACTGGACAAATGGGTGAACGGGTGGATGAAAAACCACACACGTGGGGGCTGGAGAGATGGCTCAGAGGTTAAGAGCACTGGCTGCTCTTTCAGAGGTCCTGAGTTCAATTCCCAGCAACCACATGGTGGCTCACAACCATCTGTACTGAGATCTGGCGCCCTCCTCTGGCGTGCGGGCATACATTGAAGCAGAATGTTGTATACGTAATAAATAAATAAATCTTTTTTAAAAAAAAAAAAACCACACACGCAAATCTGAATCACCCAAGACAGGCAGCTGGGAACTGTTTTGCACAGTGGAGGGATGAATTACCGAATGAATCAAAGGACAAGGGAGGGACATCTACACATAAACAAGCAAGTGCACAGGGGACGCTGGTGAGAAGGGTCTTTGGGAGGTGCAGATGAGGCGGTGTCCCCAGGCTCAGGCTTGGATCTGGGTCCCCACCCAGCTTACCATGTGAACCAGGAAAAGAGGGATCAGGGAGGAGTTGGGGAGCACAACAAAGGCCTGGGTCTCCAGGGCAGGGTCGAGTAAGAGGCCTGAGGGCTGGATGCTCAGGCGTGGAGGCGAGGAGACGGAGATCAGCAGCTGCACCTCTGTGCTGGGGAACTTCAAGGCCACCTGTGGTCCGGTACAAGTGACAGAAGAGGTCCCTTTTATCTGAGATCCATGCAAGCCATGCATCCTCCCCCTAGGCCATCCAGGTGAGGTAAGAGCAATGGCCACAAGGCCAGTGTTCAAGACAAACCTCCTGGGCACTTCTACCCACCACACCTCCTCAGCCGCCACCTCCTTGTTGAAATCCCTAGACACTATTGGAAATGGACGGCTTGTGCTCCTGTTCTGCAGCTCCCATTAGAGCTTAGAGATGGCTGTCTACAGCCAGGCTGAACGAGCTCTGAGCTGAGGGCTCTTCTCAGAGGAAGGGACATCAGCGCATCCCTCTCTCTCTCTCTGGGGACTAGTGGCTGGCATACTGTCCTCCCAGAACCCCAGCCTTGGCCTTCCAGTCCACAGAACTCATGAGAAATAAATTTCTGGCTTAAGCCATTCAGTCTACAGAAGGAAGCCACCTGTCTACCTCGTCTACCGCAACCTCATCTACCCACAGAGCACATGCATGGTTTGTTCATGTGCACTGAATGGAAAGTTCTGTCTTCACAGACTGAGAGAGGAACATGAAGAAATCAGAGAGAGGAGAGGAGGGCAGTGCGGGAGGGAAGTTCAGGGGTGGGGGAGGCAGAAGGGACAGGTGGGGGGATGGTGGGTAGGCAGTCTGTTCTGTTGGTCCCCAACAGAGATTTGATGGGTGGGTGAGCGTCCCTGGCACTCTAGAGAGCGAGTGAGCAGGAGACAAGGCTTTCCTACCTTGGGCAGGAAGGTCCCAAGGAACTCAGTATTCAGTCGGAATTTGGAATCCTTTGGCAACTGCGGTGAGGAGGGGCAAGGACATTGGGAGACGGTTAAAGCTGAGAGGAATAGGTGCATGCCAGGCCGGGGTGAGACACTGCATATCAGTGCACACTGGCGCCCCTGTGCCAGTACCACCTGGTTCTACAACTTGGTTAGTTATTGGCGAGGAAGGGTGGGCGTGGTCAGTGACTGCCGCTGTCGCACCAATCACAGGATGGCCCGCTTCATCCAGCCTGCCTCCATGCTGCCCCTCCAATCCCACGAGGCCCCCACCCCTGCCACCTTTGACTCCTGAGGTACACCAGCCATGGGGCCCAGTCTTGCTGTGAGTAAGCAGCCTGGCCAGCCCCCATGAGTGGTCTGTGTTTGCTTCCATAATGAGTCGTGGTCATTCTGCATGTCTTCCTATACAGAGAGGAGAACCTGAGGGTTTTGAGGAGTCCTGTAAAAGGGGCCCAGCATGTAAGTTGGCTGGCTGGGATGGCTGTACCTCCCAGGCTGTAGAGAGAGGGATTACTTCATCATGTACAGATGGGGAAACTGAGGTCCAGAGTGAGTCCAGCCATGAACACGTGGTAAGAGTCAATGATGCTAAGTCAGGGGTGGGAATAGCATATTGTGGGGTGTGGCTGCAATGCACTGAGCTCTGGGTTCCCAGCCTCTCGCACTGTTCTTCCAGTTAAAACTCACAATGGCCTCCGGGGAGGACACTAGTGTGGGTGACTTACAGTTGAGTCTGAGGTACAGGGATATGTTAGTGACCTAGAGTCTCTCGGTTGAGACACTTGACCCTGGGGCTCTATCCCTAGGAACAAAGCCTCCCACCTAGGTCTGCTGGACACGGAGTCTATGCTCTTCCGTGCTAGTCAGCCACACTCACCATCCAGTCCCTCAGGGTCATTTGCAAGGTTCCAGACTCTTGATATGCCAACCCGGCAGTGTTAAAGAAGTACTCGGAGATGCCCAGTTGTACCATGTAGCTCTTGTTGGGGGAGACGCTCATTGCTGGTGGGGTAATAGGGAGTGGGTCGTGGTGTCTCCTCCAGAAAAACTCCCCCTGGGTGGAAAGCACAGAGCAGGTCTGGGTGTCCTAGGATTGCAGGTGAGCAGCTTGAGTCCGGTACAAGATGGGAGGGAACCAGCTGAGCACAACCGGGAACTGCTGGTGGCAGCGTGGGGCACGGGGGGGGGGGGGGGGGGGGGAGGGCACGAGACGGTCACACAACCCAAAGCCTCCTCCCACTGCACCATTCCCCTCCCTCTTTCCAGTCAGCTCAGCAGCCGTCAAAAGAACAGTGGCCTCCAGGTTGTGTCCTCTGTCCTGTTAACAGACTCAGGAAGGCTAAAGTGTGTATTTTTGGTAAGCGTCACATGCTACTGAGAGGACACCTGTCCCTTGTGTCTCTAAGAAGTGATCTGACAACGTGTGACAAAAACAGATTGCTTATTAGGAAGAAAAACAATGTCTAGCTCAGGAAAGCCACTTGTAGACACATATGGTAGAATACCACTTACGTAAAATTTAAAGAGCACAGAAAGTCTAAATGTGTACAAAAGGACAAACATCATTTCAGTGTGGTGCCTGGCATGGGCAGGAGGGCAGTGGGGAACATTCCCTGAAGCCTTGGCGTCATACACACAGGTGACCCTGTACCACTGAGTTACAGCCCAGCCATGTTCTCTGAACCTTTGAATCACACGGTCATTTAAAGTTAATGTCCACATTGCCCACACAGTGGAAGACCATATAGTTTCTTTCTTTTCCTTTCGCCTTCCTCCCTTCCTTCTTTCTTTCTGAGACAGAGTCTCTTTGTAGCCCTGGCTGACCTGAAACTTGCTATGTAGACCAGACCAAACTCACAAAGATCCTCCTGCTTCTGCCATTTGAGTGCTGGGATTAAAGGCCTGCATCACCACACCCAGCTGACCAGGCAGTTCTTAAAGATAGTGAACACTAGCTCCAATATGGATCCTTTGGAGAGAAATATGAGCAGGACAGCACCATCCCCCACGCAAAACAGGTCACCAGCCAAGAGCAGGTGAATGCGTTTGCATATGTGTATATGTATAAATGTGTGCACATGTGTACGCATACACATGTGTATGTATGTGTACGTGTATGCCATAGGTATGTGCATGTGTCACTATGTGTATGTGTGTGCATGCGTGTGCACATATGTATGTACCCAGATGTGTGCTTGTGTGTGGAGTGTGTGTGTGCATGTGTATATGTGCACTGCTGTGTGTATGTGGGTATTTTAAGCATTCAGTCTTTTCCGGCACCTCTAGAGAGTAGTCTTGAGTGGACAGAGAGCTTTCAGGATGATCCCCGAAAATGCAGCTGCCTGCTCTTTCTTCCTAGATCACCATGCAGCTTTGCCTGCTCCAAGTTCTTTGTTTTTCTATCCCCCATCTGCCCAGTTAACCTCTCCCCAGGTCCCAGCCTATAAATACCCCCAAGCTTGCCCTTGGGGATAATTAGAGACCCAGGCTCCCTACTCACACTTGCCCATCATATGAATAACTCTTGTCATTTTAGTAACCAGCATGCCACACACTGGACAAAATGGCCTGGTTTGGTACCAACTGTAGCTCTGGTTAGCTGCATGGGACATCTGAGAAAAGTCCAGCTGTCCCAGGTGGGGCACTGCTGTCTAGGGTGGGACCTTATTCTGGCTGTTCACTGAAGCACAGAGCCATCAGTGGGAGGTCACAGGAGACATTTTTGTGGGTGTCTTAGGAGCTGTCCACATTGTACTCTTCTGGCTCAGTGATGAATAGCAGTGCTTACAAGAAAATCATGAAGTGTGTGTGTGTCTGTGTTTGCATCTGTGCTGTGTGGATCTGTTTCTATGCCTCTGTATGCTCTGTTTCTGTCTCTCCTTGTGTCTGTTCCGCCTCTTGCTCTCTCTGTGTATGTTGTATTACTGTAGAGAAGCCTTGGAGGCCCTAAATCAGTCTTGAGTGTGCTTATTTCTGCATGGTGTGATTTAGGCCAGTAGTTCTCAATCATGAGTTGCGACCCCCATAGGGGACACATATCAGATATTTACATTATGATTCATAATAGTAGCAAATTTACAGCTATGAAGTAGCAATGAAATAATTTTATGGTTGGGATCACCACAACATGAGGAACTGTGTTAAAGGGTCACAGCATTAAGAGAGTTGAAAACCACTGATTTAGGCAATGTCACTCCTTTTCTGCCCTGTCTTGCCAACCTTTACCCTTATCCAACAAATTTCCCGACACCAACCTACACCAGGCATATTCCCAGGTGCTGTACATACAGCACTGAACAATGCAGTCCCTGTCTTCTCTTGACATATTGTGTGTGTGTGTGTGTGTGTGTGTGTGTGTGTGTGTGTGGTGGTGGGGTTGATTAACTCTGCTGAGATAAAGGCAGTGTTGGGGGCTATTTCAGCATGAGTGGTTGGGGAAAGCATCCCTAGGAAGACTTCCCTGGGAAGGCCCAGTTTGACCAAGAACCGGAAGGAAGCAGGGAGAGCAATGCGCATATCTGCCCCGGAGCACCCTGGGCAGAGGGGAGAGTGAGCACAAAGACCCAGGGCCCCCGGGCAGGCACAGTGAGTTTCTGGAATGTTGGTGGCCAGCATGACTGGAACAGGGGATTCAGGGGAGTGTGGAGTGGGGCAAAGCAAATAGGAAGAGGTCAGTTTCCAGGGTTACAGGGCACGTATTTGAGCAGGTACCCATCTCTGTGGAAACCTCACCTTTAGCTGCCCTTCCAGGAACTCAACTGTGGTTCTAAGAGTCAGCAAACTGTAGTCAATTGCGGTCATTTCATCCACTCTGGCAACCACTAGACACAGAGAAGATGGGCTGTGAGCTGGCTCCAGTGGCAGCAGCCTGCACGGCTGCACGGGGGAACTGTGGTCTCTTTCCATCACCCCTGCAGGACTCCCTGAGGTTCCCAGAAAAGATGTGAAGTCTGGCGATGAAGACTGGGTTGGAGCACCCAGTGTGTCTACGTCAGGCTCTGGGTTCAGTTCCCAGACTCACGTACACGTGTATACACAGACGTATATTCACGCATGCACGCGTGCACATACATACACACATGCATGCACGCATTGGCACAGATAGCAATGGCTCAGTGAGGGGCAACATGCTTGTAATCCCATCATATGGGAGACAGAGGCAGGAGTTTGAGACTGAGAGTTTGAGGCTAGCTTGGGCTGCAGCCTGAAATCAGGGAAGAAAGAGAGAGAGGAGGCTGTTCTTTGGTCCTCACCAGAACATGCGTTATGGGCCAGCAGTGCGCAGTCCACAAGGGGGCAGTTCTATCTGAGGTTTTTAAGACCCCAACTTCCAGTGTGTGTGATCGAGACACATCATATAAATGTATGAAATTGCCAAGAATAAAATTTTATCTCCACACTGGGATCTGGATTCTTCTAGATGGCTCTGTCCCTCTCTGAGTCTTAGTTTCTCCAGGAGTGAAGTGAGGAGGCTGGGGCAGGAGGATGCCCGCCAGCAGGAGCTGGGACTCATTGTCATTTGCGGTATATAGAGATATTGTTCCCTTTTCAGGGCGTGGGAACTGAGGTCTAGAGAGAAGTGGGCAGTCTCTCATCTCAGGTTGTGTGTGTCAATGGCCTCAGAGAGCCAGTGTGTGTGTGTGTGTGTGTGTGTGTGTGTGTGTGTGCTGAGGTACAGGGGTACTGGGGTGCTAGGGTTCAGGTGTTTGCCCTCTGCCTGGCTGGAGGAAGGAGCTGGCTTCCACTTCACTTCTGAATGCACAAGGAACTGGCCCGATGCTAGCTGTGGAGGACTGCAGCCCATCCTTCCCCTCGTCACCAGGCTCAGGCCTGCTCCATCCACTCTGCCTCCCTTCTAGCCCTCCCATCCTCTTCCATCCTCAGCCCACTCCCAGCCCTCACCTGGAAGAGTATGGATGTAAGGCTGCAGCTTGGTGGACACCGAGATGGTCACAATTCTGCAGATCTAGGGACAACCAAAGAAATGCCAGTGAGCTTCAGATGTGGTAAGTGAGAGTCCAGACACGCCATCTCCATCTTCTCTCTGTGGTGACAGCAAAATACCAGAGACCAAGTGATTCACAGGGAAAACAGGTTTAGTTAGCTCATGGCTCCTTCAGGTCCATGACGACAAGGGGGCAGAGTCTGCCAAGAGGCTTCCAGATTGTAACGAGGTAGAGAGTGGAGCTTGGCAAGACAGAGGCAGGTACTAGCTCAGGAACCCTACCTCTACCTATATAAAGTCACCAAGGCCATCACGGGGCTCATTTAACCCTAGTGCCACCCACAGGCTGCACCGCTAAACACCATTAACAGATTAATTTGGGGATTAAGTGTCCAACACATGAACTCTGTGGAGATAAATCCAAACCATAGCACATGCTTTCTCTTCCTTTAGTATCTTGTTAAAAATCACACAGCTAGCTGGGTGGTGGTGGCACACGCCTTTAATCCCAGCACTCGGGAGGCAGAGGCAGGTGGATCTCTGTGAATTCAAGGCCAGCCTGGTCCACAAGAATAGTTCCAGGACAGGCCCCAAAGCTACAGAGAAACCTTGTCTGGAACCCCCCCCCCCCCAAAAAAAGAAAAAAAATCACACAGCTAATCCAGTTTCCTTTTTTTATTTGGCCACTGGATGCTCAGAAACAATTAACTGTGTAAGACTACATTGCCTGCATATCTGCACTCTGAGTCTTTCCTGCACGGGAACCTCCCTAACGGGTATTTATGGGTCCTGGGTTATAGCACTGTGTTCTCTGTTGTTCTCTTTATCTGTCTCTTGTTATCGCAAATCCTTCATAGAATGAGGTGGCCAACAAACACAGGGAGGTTCGTGGTCAGTCTTCCCTTCTCCAGGTTTTGGATAGCAGGGCACCTTCTAGGCTTCGGTGTGTGTAGGTGCCCTCACCTTAGCCTTGTGGCTGGAGAAGCTGTTTCTGGCAGTTTCTCCACCCCACTGGCTGACCTTGTTCTCTCCCTTTCTCTAGAGCCCTCTTCCCTCCCCTGCGGCATGGAACTGATCAATTGCGGCAGCCTGGATAGCCAAACCTCTGTCTTTGACAAAACTGGGGTTACCTATAATCAATCACGATCCAAAACTATTAAGTGGAAAGTTCTAGAAGTAAAGAATTTTCAAGTTTTAAATTGTGAGTCCGTTTGAAGAGATGATGCACCCTCCACCCCACCTAAGACATGAATGACCCCTTTGCCCTTCGTACCCAAGCTGTATACACTACCTGCGGACAGTTACTCAGTAGCCACATGGGTCCTCAGATTGACCTTCGTGTTTGTGCTCATGCAGCTGGGAGTGACTTGATACGGACTCTAAGGTCGGGCACACTGCAGCCGGGACCCTTACAATGGTCTCTTACCAAATCCGAGCCACGGTGTGCACTCTAAGGTCAGGCACACTGCAGCCGGGACCCTTACAATGGTCTCTTATCAAATCCGAGCCACGGTGTGCACTCTAAGGTCGGGCACACTGCAGCCGGGACCCTTACAATGGTCTCTTATCAAATCCGAGCCACGGTGTGCACTCTAAGGTCAGGCACACGCAGCCGGGACCCTTACAATGGTCTCTTATCAAATCCGAGCCACGGTGTGCACTCTAAGGTCAGGCACACGCAGCCGGGACCCTTACAATGGTCTCTTATCAAATCCGAGCCACGGTGTGCACTCTAAGGTCAGGCACACGCAGCCGGAACCTTTACAATAGTCTCTTATCAAATCCGAGCCATGGCGTATGCTCATTTAGGATGTGTTTCATTCTTGGGCTGATACAGTGCCTAAGATTTGTCCCTAAAGGCAGGAAAAGGCTGGAATGGGGTGACGGCATCCTATGGGCTGGGTCCCCAGCTGGATAAAAGGAGAGGATACCCCAGCTTTCGTCTCGCTTTGGGACTGGATGCGCTGTGATTAGTCACCTCAGTGTCTTGCTCCCTTGTCTGCCCTTCCATGATGGACTGCAAACCACAAATTAACCTTTCCTACCTTTGTCAGGTTTTGAACCAGCAATGAGTAGAGTAGTTGATGCAATTGCTGGGAGACTAGGCCAAGAGGGAAAAGGAATGTTGGGAATTGAAGACAAGGTTGAGTGGTTACTGCACATAGAGAGTAGCAAGGGATCGAGGGTTATGATGACAACATCCAAGACTCTGGGTCACGATGACAAGACTGGGCGAAGAGAGAACCGAGACAGAGTTAGGCTGAGACACCTACTCCATTAAAACAAACCAGCGAGGATGAAAATTCCCTCAGTCTGGGGAAAGAAATGACATTTAAGTACACTAAGTATTTGGGACTTCGTGTTGACTCTACTGGAAGAGAACCATCTCAGGTCATATTGTAGCTAAAACCAAGAAGCTAGCAGGAGAGAAAGTGCTTACAAAGGCAAAATGGCCAGAGCAAAGGCATACCTGACCACCGAAGCCCTACGGCAAGGAGAGCGGTGACGCATTTCAGTCCTCAAACACACTCCAGCCAAGAGCTCTGCCCCAAAACAGCTATCCTGGGACAACACCAAGGGAAATAAAGATCTACAACTCCCATCCGCAAGCTAAAGCTACAACGTCCACCCGCGAGCTAAAGCTACAACGACCATCCGCAAGCTAAAGCTACAACGTCCATCCTCAAGCTAAAGCTACAACGTCCATCCGTAAGCTAAAGCTATTCTTTCTATTACACCAGTGCTGCAGGCGATACTTAGAGGAACTGGGGGGGAGGGGGGTTTCATGACACAGTGGAGACACACACCAGCCTGAGAGCTCGGGCAAGGATACATGTCTCATATTCTCACAGTAAACTAGAAAGCCTTCAGGAGAAAGAAGTTAATGTGCGCCCCTCAGTGATAACCCTGAATGTGCAGTTCGGTGGTAAAAATGCTTGCCACGCAAGAGTGAGGGGCCTGAGTTCGAATCCCCAGAACCTATGTGGAAGCTGGGTAGGTAGCACAAGCACCTGGAACCCTGGTGCTCCCTATGGAGAGATGGAAGGTGGCGACAGAAAAGTGCCCAGAAGAAGCCTGAGGGTCACTTTCCCTGGTGTAGGCTGCAGAAAAGTGACCAAGAGACTTTCATGTCTCAAACAAGGTGGAAAGTGAGGATGGGTACCTGAGTTGTCCTCTGACCTTCACACGGACAGAGTGGCACAAGTGTGTCTACATTCACACTCATGAGTGTACACATACCCAATGTATACACATAAACACACACACAGACACAGACACACACACATATTCCGCTAATGTAAATGGCCTTAACTCGCCAAAGATGCAGACTGTAATCCCAGCACTGAGGAGGCAGAGGCAGACTGATCTCTCTGAGTTCAAGGCCGGCCTGGTCTACAGTGTGAGTTCCAGGACAGACAGGACTACAACAAAACAGAACAAAACAACCTAAAAAAAAAAAGATACAGATTGGCTGAATGGATTAAGGAATAAAGTGTCCACTTATTTGCTGGGCCTTGGTTTGCAAGACCTCCTAGGTCTTCGCAGTGGATGGGGGAGGTAAGGAGGGATGGAAGATTTGGGAAGGAAGAAGGGAAAAGGGAAGGGGTGGAGAAGTTGCCCGTGGAGTGTGTTTCTGTCACAGGAGGCTATGATGTCCCAATGGGAACTGGACCATCCTCTGTGGCTCCTGTGTCACTTCTCTCACTGACCCAGACTGGGAGGGGTAGGGGACGGCTGAACACTGGCTGCTTCTCAGATATCGCCTGCTCCACTGCCCCATCGCTCACGCAACAGGCCAATGGGGGCTCCAAGTCAGCCAGTCTCATGGAGTCTCTGCGGCTCCCATGGCCTCAGGTCCCCTCTTGACCGACTCCCCAGCCCACTCCAGCCTGCTCAGGCCCACTTGTAACCTTGTGCCACCTGCCACCTCACTTCCTCAAGCCAGGGCTGCTGCTGAGAAGGGTGCCTTGCTGGTGATGACCTTCAGGGACCCCGGAGCGCGTACAGAGGGTTCTTGCAATAGTGCTAAGCTACGTCTGTCCTCAGCATGGGGGATACCTTGCCATCTGTACCCTTGCCATCACCCTGCTTCATACTCCACAGGGGTCCCTCCTAGTGGCAGCAAGAAATCACAGACACGCAGCGGCTTCCTTGGCGGTGTGTATTCTAGGGCAGGGCCCAGCAGGGGTGAGCAGGGGAGGGGATGGCAGCTAGGGGGAGACAGCAGAGGCTGCTGTGAGGAGCTAGCGGGAGGTAAGCAGAAGCCTCTTGGCAGTTACCGGAAGGCTTGCTGAGCAGGGGGCCCTGCCCTTCCCTGCTCTTTTTGTGGGACTGTCTCTAAAGCACACGGTTGGGCTCTGTAGATGCCGAGGGATTGAGATGAAGGCCAAGGTGCCCAGCACGATTAAGATGTCGCTCTGAGGCCTCGGCTCTGCCACCACTGACGCCCACCTACCTTTTCATTGATGCTGTTTTTCAGGGAAGTCTCGATTTTCTTGTGGAACAGCTGAATCAGCCACCTGGCGGGGACGTGTGGGGACATACAACGGGTTTTCAGGTGTGCCTGGGAACCCTGGAAACTAGCCCTGGATCATGCAGCCGTCACTAGACTGTTCTCCCCACTGGCAGCAACCCGTTGACGGGACTATTTTCTTAATAGCTACAGACACCTGCCCCACCCCATACCCACCCCCCACAGCCCTCCCCCTCTGTAAACCAGCCACATTGGCTTCCTCTCGCCACCGTTTGCACATGTGGGTCCCCCCTTCCCCCGTCCCAAACACCCCACCGCCAACTTCTACCCACTCACCCTTTTCATCTCGGTTCAAATGTCATTTTCTCCTGCCCCCAGACTGGGCCAGGTCCTCCAGTTCTAAGTGTCCGGGGCACTTTGTACCTTTCTTAAGTCTAGGTTCTTACCGCCCTAAGTGAGCCCTTCATTGATGTAATAACCTTGCTAAGGTCCCCCGCCCCCTCCCCCCAACCACCCCAGACCTGGAGTTTTAAGAGAACAGTCTGGGTTGCCTGAGGGCCTAGGGTCAGACAGCCTGCCTTCTACTCCGTGGTGGTCCCTGGGCAGACTGCGTCAGCGTCAGCGTGTGACTATGCTGAGCTGTGCTGGCAGCGCGGCGAGGCTCTGGTTGATGAAGCTGGTTGTGAGGTTTGGTTAATGCCTGCCATCTTCTGTGCAGGCTTCTGGTGCAGGGCCAGCACACAGGTGATTGGAGGTCCGAAGGTGGAAGTCTGTCAGTACTGAGCGGGGCCTTAAGGCAGCGTCTCTTCACACACACACACACACACGCACACGCACACACACGCATACACACACACACACACACACACACACACACACACGTCCTGCCCCGCTCACACCCAAGGCTCTGAAAAGGTCTGTACAGAGGGGAGTCTACAGATATACTTTCTGAGATAGGGAGTTTGGGGGACTGCAGCCCCAGGAGACCTACCCCAGCATGCTGCCCGAGATTTGGATATGAACCCTGTCAATGTGACTGCTGCAGGCAGAACAATCCACACGGAGGCGGCCTGGGGGGCTCCTGCCCAGCTGCAGGTCAGCGGAGATGAAGACGCCTTGGAGGCTCAGATCAAACTTGCCGCGGGCTTTGCTGATGGGGAGACAGAGAGAAGTGACCTGGAGCAAACCCTTTCCTCCTCATACCTCTCCTGTCAGCATCAGCGGGGGACCTAGGTTCCCTGTCAGCACCGCCCTGGGGATAGGGGTGTGTCAGAGACAAGAAGCAACTGTGCAAACCTCACAACACTGAATGTCGGGGTTCTAACCAGATATCCCAACCTGATTTTCACTTGGCATTCTGCCCCCCCCCCCCCGCCCTTGCTGTGTGGCTTTGTGAAGGTTTCTTAACCTTTCTGAGCTTCTGTTTCTTCACTAGCAGCTAAACATGCGTGTGTACATCTCAGTTTCGTCACTCAAGATTTGAGGGTTTTGTCACGACTTTAAGCAGTTACTAACCCAGTAATTGATTAATGAACTTAATTAATCACTTCCCCTGTAGGCACGAAGTGAATTTATATAAGACAGGGAACACAGTGTGCTTGACCAACTTTGCCTTTTGCACTTTTTCTGTCTCTAAGATTGTGCTCTGGGTGACACACGGGACTTCAGAGAAGAAGCCACGCCTCTCACCTGGGCCTTGTGGACACACAAGATAGAGACAACGCAGCACGGTTACTGTTTCAAGTCACCGAGACTGGGATGTTTGTTACACAGCAGCAGTAGCCGATGAACACAGAGAGAGATCAAAAGTCCTGCTCAGCTTTCCCTCCTGAGCCACCCTCGCCGACTCTTCACCCGTTCTACCTTGCCACGTCCTGCACTAGGGTGTGACCCGACTGACTCAGCTATTCATGCAAGGTGGAGTGTTTTTAAGTGACCCTCCCACCCGGTGGCGACACATGTCTATGTCTCTAGACAAGGCAGAAGTGGACATGCCCAACACCTTGGCTCAGAAGTCTTCAAGTGTCACCAGCCCACCCAGCAACCCTAGCGCCTGAGACTCACAGGAAGTTCTTCTTTGATTTCCATCTTCCTCTGATATTGATGCTGGCATTCTTGATGGACAGCTGGAGCTTGTCCGCGAGCAGCAGACGAATCTGGGGATTAGGGGTGTGAAATCCGTCCACTGTCATACTGCGGAGGAAAAAGCGCCCAGTCATCATCCTGGGCCAGGAGGGCGTCGTGAGGCCCTTCACCTACGTGCCACCCTAGGTGTGTCATTTAGGCTGCTTGGGCTCACGGCGCGGACAGGCGGTCTGTCAACAAAGATGGCCGACCCTGAGCCTTGACCATGGGCTCTGTATAGGGTGTTAAGTGTCCACTCGTCCTCACTGTTGGAAACGGGAGATATGCTGTCGTGACACATAGTAGGTGTGCCCTATGCCTGCCAGAGACACACAGTAGGTGTTTCAGATGTCTGCTGAATGGACCTGGCATGAAATTCTGTAGGAAACACTGGGGGTTTTCTGTCCAGCAGCCACACCCCCTTTCTTGGTACAGCAGACACGCAAGTGTATTTAGGGAGCCCATCTCACCTGTTCTGTGCTAGGAACCCACCTGTCTTTCTGCGGGGGGGGGGGGGGGGACGACTTAAGCTTAGACGGTTAGTTTTTTTTTTTTTTACTCCTCTGGCACAGTGATTGGTTTAGGGGCATATACATTATTTAAACTGGCCTATCAGAGTGTACCTCAGAGCTTTGTCTGGTGTTGTAGGAGAAGGCTTCTTCCTGGACAGAGAGCTTAGGGGCTGCGCTCTTAGAACTACCTGGTGACGGTCCTTTCTCTGGGGGACTGAAAGGACCTGACGCTGAGGTGGTAAGAGAGACCAATGTCCAGAGACTCGAGAGGCTGGCTCAAGCAGGCGCTACAGCTAGACTACCCAGTCACGTGAGGCTGTGACCTCAGGCACAGGCCGTTCTCCTGTCCCTGGAATCCACGTGTGTAGCACAGGTTTGGGTTTCATGATGTCTACTGTGGAGTGATGGAGGGTGCTGGAAAGACAACCTCCAGGCTCAGCTTGAGGCGTGGTAAACCTTGGGCTGGTGTGCATGCTGGGTTGGAAGGGTTAAAGTCCATGAGCTGAGAACTTGGCCACAGGACTCGGGTCCCTGCCACCAGTGTTGGGAGGCCTAAGCCTCAGCTAGCCTCACCTGTAGAACTCATAGGAACCTTTTCCCAGATGCTTCGTCTTGAAGATTCCAGAGAAATTGGGAACTTTGATGGTTTCTAGCTCCTTCTGCAGCTCAGTCACGCCCTCCTGGCATGCTAGAGGGCAGAGCAGAGACAAGCGCAGCTTAGGAGCAGGGCTGGAGGATCCCAGCAGTTCCAGACCCCTGGGCCTGGCCTCAGCAACGACAGTGGGAAGAGCAGGGCTGAGCGGGGGTCTGTCTTCAGACAGCCAAGATTTGAGCCTTTGGCTCACCCACTCCTCCCACACTCTGTGCCGCTTCGATGTCACCGAAGCAAAGACAGAAAGGTGGCCATGTGCCAACACTGCATGGGGAGCCCTGGGATAAGTCATTCACATGCAATGGGCCATTCTTCTTTGGAAATTTTTCCAACCATTTGAACTCCAAAGACAGTCTTTAAGGGGTGTGTGGTGCACCTATAATGCCAGCACTGGGGATGTTGAGGCCGGAGAGCTTGTATTTAAGGCCACATAGCAAGACCCTATTTCTAAGAAACAAAGCAACTGCCTGGCGGGGGATGGCTCAGTAGATAAAGTGATGGCCACACAGTATAAGGACCAGAGCTCAGATCCCAGATCCCCAGGCCCCATACGAATGCTGGACAGTGTGGTGACTTCTCTGTAATACCAGGGCTCATGAAGGGGGACAGGGGTCCCAGAACAAGCCGGCTGCCTAGAACAGCTGTACCAGTGAGCTCTGGACTGAAGATTTGCCTCGAAATGCAAAATGGAGTGCGCCCAAGAAAGACACCCAGTGTCAACCTCTGGCATCCACACGACCCTCGCTCACACACAACCATGTGTGCCCACACACATACATGAACATGAAGAATACTCCCCCCCAACAGTGAGTGCATGGTGCCGAGGGACAACACCTGAGGTTTCCCCTGGCTCCCAGATGTACTCACACCCGTGTGTTCACCCCATGATCATTTACACAGTCACCCCCAAAACAAACACCCCTTCTTACTAGATCATAGCTCATACAGAAATACACAGCAAGCCACATTGAGCTTGTGGGCTATAGACTGATACAACAGCCCCAAACATTCAGCCAAGCATCTTTCTCCACACCTTGCTCTGGGCTGTCTTCCCACCGACAGCCACCTCTAGGCTTTCTACAGGACCTTCATCTGGAGTCCCCTGTTCTACCTCTAACTTCCTTCGGGAAGCTTCCTGACACAGATATTACTATCCTCACAGTCTTGAGTGTCTCATTCCAAGCACCCATTTTTCTTTGTAATTAGGCATCTATTCACAATGACTCTGATTGATGTCACTCTCCTTCGCTAAATGAAAGTCCCCAGAAGTTGGCGGTAATGTCCAGGGTGCCTGGCACTTACTGTTTGTTGGGTAAATAAATGAATGCCCCAAAGGCAGGGATTCTGCCACCAGTGAGGAAGTGGCTAACAGCATCAAGGATCCAATTAACCAGGCAAACATATCGCCTGAGGGGAGAGGAGGGAGGCAGAGAGGTGAACCGAATAGGATTCCAGTTTCCCAAGAACCAAGAGGGACGGAGAGCAACAATAAAACGCACGCACGGGGTCTTCCTGTCCACCAGGCCCTGCTTGCAGCAAGGCTGAGCAATCGAGGAATCCTTTCACCCCTCCCATCCCCCACAAAGGAAACAGGCGGGTTTTGGGGGGAGGCCAGTGCTTTGTTCAAGAGCCCACAGCCAACCTGTGGTAGACAGAGGCAGAATGGGAATGCAGGCCTCTTGTTCCCTGAGCTCAGGCCCCAGGGCCAGCCTTTGGGTGTGGGACACACTTTTAAAACCCCACTCCAGTTGCCACATGGGACACCAGCAGAAGAGAAAAGCGAGGCAGCTGTGGCAGCATGAGGAGTTCTGACTGAGCCTCTGAGTCCCCGAAGCTGTCAAACATGCACTCTTGTGAGGACATGTACACACACACATTCTGGGTTTAAACACAACACTCAAAGCTCAATGGGGGAATCTTTCCGCGTCCCTAAGATTCTGAAAAGTCCTGCCCAGGTTAGAACTAGAGTCCTGGAGTAGAAAAGCAGATCCCCCTGGGGCCTGGTTTTGTGGACCTGTCTGGTCTGGTTTGAGCTGGAATCACCCAGAGTGCTGCAGTTTCTCTCTCTATCACCAGGGGACAGCACCAAGAAGCTCTGTGGAGCGCCTCAGCGAAGACCTGAGCTCAAAACCGCGTGTACACTTCCCAGAGCCTCTGGGCGACTCCAGTGTGCTCACCTGCTGGAGTGGACCTGAGTAGTGTGTCCCACCCAGTCCTTCGGTGGAATAAACGGGACCCGGTGGGTCAGTGAGGCGCCTGGCAGCGAAGCAGGTGAGCGGAGTCGTTACCTGCCTGAACTTGGGGGAGTAGTCTGGGGTAGCTTTCTCTGGGTCTGCCAGCGGAGTTTAAACATCTCACTGGTGAGAGCCCCTTTCCAAGCCTGCTCAGCCTCTAGCAAACGAGGCAAGGCAGGTGTCAGGCTTTGGAAAGAAAGGCCTAGAAATTTGTGCCGGGCGACAGTGTAGAAAGAGGGGAAACATAAGGACCTTTAGGGCCCGGGGACATTTGGAATCTTTAAGAATAGTGGTCAAAGCCGGGCGGTGGTGGCGCACGCCTTTAATCCCAGCACTCGGGAAGCCGAGGCAGGCGGATCTCTGTGAGTTCGAGGCCAGCCTGGACTACAAGAGCTAGTTCCAGGACAGGAACCAAAAAAGCTACGGAAAAACCCTGTCTCGAAAAATAAAAAAAAAAAAAAAGAAAAAGAATAGTGGTCAAGTCCCAGATCTACCTCTACCCATCCCTATGAGTTTGTGCCTTAGTTTCTTCCTACATAAAACAAGGGAAAAGAGGTCTCCTTAGCAGAGCTATGAGCTTGCCAGCCGCCAGATTTAAAGGGCTGTGCACCCTAAGTGATCAACAAGTGCTCCCCCTGCGCCCCAGAATAAGGAAGGGAGAAAGGCAATTACCGAAGTCCAGACCCTTCTGGAAGATTATGGCCGAAAAGCCAGGGTTGATGGCCGCTGTCAGGGTTGTGCCCATGAGGGCCAGAAGCGTCAGGGTTGACCATTTCCGCACGTTGTCAGGGGCCCAGGCCATGTCCTCCAGGGCAGCCCAGACCTCAAGGCCTCTGAAGGGAATCTGAGACCTATAAAGAATCCGCCTGGGGAAAGGCAGGGCAGTAGTAGAAAGAGGAAGGAGGAAGGCACCCGTGGGGGCGGGAGGGGGAGGGCAGCTGCGGTTCCCCATCAACGTTGGGGACCAGTCCAGGGACTGTCCCGGTGGAGCCTAGAGGTCTGTGCGAGCATGGGCATGTGCGCATGTGCTGCGCACGTGTGCGCGCGCGCACATGCGTGCATGCACGCGCAAGCCTGTTGGGGTTGATCCCTCTTCCTAAGCCCCCATCCCTTCCCTGAGTCCCCCTCCCCACCTCATTTAAGACTTTCTTCGAAGTGGGGTGGAGACCACACTGAGAGTCGCTTTATCCGTTTTCTATTCCTTTGATAGTTTCCTTAGTATGATGTTGAAGAAAACAGGACCTTGGGAGCTTTATTTCCCCACCCCCACCCCCATCCCCCACCCTGGGAGGCCTTAGGGGATGTCTAACTGCTCTAATTCTGGAGTCTTGTCCTTGATTTCTCTGCTACTCTCTAAACTGAGCCTCGGTCTCCTCCTCTACAGCGCAGTGAAGACTGTCACCCTTGCCCCTAGCCTACCGTGAGGACTGAGGACCGAGGCCAGATGGCCTTACAGCCGGGAAAGCAGGCGATGTGCCTTGAGGGAAAGAGAATCCAGATGGCAGCATCAGCCAGAGCTTCAGAAATAAACATGAGAATAAGTCTGGACTCTTCTCCAAGAAACAAGACCAAACATATTTTAATTTTCTCCTGTCCTATTTTTTTTTTTCCTGGCAAGTGTGTGTAGTTGGTCCTGCCTGTTTGTTTTTCTATCAGAAATGGGATCACACTGGGTAGCTCTGTGAAGTTCCCTTTTCCTGAATAATAAGCAGCGGGTGTTCTCACCCAGCACTCACTATTCCATCATTTCCTCAGCCCACAGTTTTCTCAGCCACATATCTGTTTTCGTACATTTCATCCTCTCTCTGACCTCTGACGGGAAGAGGACTTGAGGTTTCCTGCGGGGACAGTAGGGACAGTAGGCTACTCTGAGAGCCAAGATACTTCTAACACCATCGGAACTAGGGGTGCCTGGCTGGAGGGGCGAGATGGGGACCACTCAACCCCTTTCATCTTTGCTCACAGGACAGGACAGTTCTACAGTTCCTGCCCTGGGGCTGCAGCAGCCTCAGGGCTCCTGTGGGCGTGACCCTGTCAGGCTACCCTAGTCTCCACGGTCACCATAGGGGGCTGGGCTTCGGAGGCTCAAGGGTTCTAACCCAGTGCATTTTATGGAAATCTAAGAAGCCTGGGTCTTCCCGAGGTTTCCTTTTTTCTCATCACCTGGTTCTAAGCAGTCCCTGCTCCTGCTGTCTGTCCCAGCTGGAGTCTCCCGCCCTGCATAGGAAGGAACACAGAGCTGCGTGCACAGGGCCTGTCAGATGTTTCCCAGGGATCCTCGCCACAGCTCAAGGGTTGGCTGCTCCCCCTGTGTGACCACACCGAGTCAGGTAATGGTCGCTGTCTTTCAGCAGGAGGTGAGGGGGAGTTTCCAGGAAGGCTTGTCACCAGGTTTTCCCCCAGAACCTTCCTTCTTTACCCACAAGCAGCCGGGATCTATGATCTGTCATAAAAATGCCATTTTAGAAAATAATCTTGGACACTTTCACATACAGACATACACTCAGGCAAAGCACTTATGCAAAGTGAAACTTAACGCATCTTTAACAAGCGAAAACTGTAAAGCAAAGCACAAACCACACAGATGCCCCAGCTTATGAAATCTTGACACATATACCCTGGGGTCATTTCTTTTATTCCTACGAACTTCTGATTTTCTTAAGTTTTTTTAAAATTATGTATAGCCTGTGTGCTTGTGTGTCTGTGCATGCGTGCACATTAGCGCAGGTGACTTTGGGGCATCAGATCCCCCGAGCAGGAATTACAGACAGTTGTAAGATGTCTGAAGTGGGAGCTACTGACTCCAGGTCCTCTTCCTTCAACCACGGAGCCCTCTCTGGCCTGGACTTCTATTCTCCTCAGAATGTATCCTTGCTTCATTACCACCCCACAGACTATTCTGCCATCCTGACTCAACATGGCTTCAGTGATGAGCAGAAACCTGTGATCACAGCAGGGCTTCATGGGGGCTGTCAAGAGGGGGCTGGTCCGGAGGCCCGTTCTGTGCACTCTTCTGCTCCTGGTCCTTACTCTGGTGAAAGGTAAACTAGGGTGGATGAGAGCCATACAGACCTGGGTTCCTGGTCCCGCCCTGTCATTTCCGCTCCTGCGAGAGTCTGGCTAAGCGTCAGGCCTTGTCTGAAGTTGTGTTTCCTCATTTATGCATGAGAGACAGTGCCTGTCCTGTTCTGGGGGTGCACTGACGATAGCGTGAGCCGTCAGGTAGGAGTGTATTTGCACACACAGATGCCAGCTTAGCCATGGTTCAGCTCTGAGCTGGCTGGGAGGCCCAGACTCTCTCTATGACAGCACACTAGGCCCTACTGCAGAGCTGTGGGACTTCTGGCTTCTGGGTTTGTCGTGAGTGAGTGCAGACAGAGGACTCCATGGCTCTTGTGGCCTTCTGTCAGTCACTCCCGCGGTCAGCAGGTCCCAGCAGCCGCAGTTGAGAATGGGGTAGACCCTCATGGTCCCAAGTTCTGGACGAACTGCTTGTTTGTTAGTGACTTAATTTTGCTGAATCTCATCTTTTCTCCCTTGTTTCCTTACTCCATCCTTAGGCGTCATGCCTCTCATTAGCCCTGAACACTCAGCTTTCCCATAAGGCCATCTTGTGGCCAGCGAGACCCTACAGGCCTCTCCCCCTGCCTCAGCACGCATGCTCAGGCCTTTTCCACCACCTTTCCCACCTGGGACTCTACTCCACTGGGTTCCTGGCTTCCAGGACATGCTGTGATAACCCCCTGTTCTTGGCTTGGAGATGCAGGTGTGGAGGTGTACACGGAGGGTGTGAAGGCACAGGGCAGACCTGGACCCAAGGGTCATCAGACACTTTTTACTCTGACAGTGATTGGAGAGGTGTCTCCCTTACTTTGTTATGCTGCCCAGCCTCTCCTAGATTCCCAGGGGCCCTCTGAGTTACTTGGTACTGGAAGACACTAGCCACCAGGAGGCAGAGGTAGGTCAGTGTCTTAGTTTGCTTTCTGTTGCTGTGATAAACACCACGACCAAAAGCAACTTGAGGAGGAGAGGGTTTGTTTCAACTTACAGTTGAAATCCATCGTGAAGGGGAGTCAGGACAGAAGCTCAAGGTAGGAACTGAAGCAGAGGCCATGCAGGAGTGCTGCTTACTGGCTCGCTCTCCACTTGGCTTGCTCTCCACAGGCCACCTGCCTGTGGTGGGACTGCCCCCATGGTCTGGGCCCTCTCACTTCTATCACTAAACAATACAATGACTGTTGAAACTTGCCTATAGGCAATCTGGTGGAGGCATTTTCTCAACTGAAGTTCCTCTTTCCAGATAACTCTAGTATCTGGTTGGTTAAAAAAAAAAATTGATCAGGACAAACAGATACCTCCCATTGCCATCATCATCATCATCATCACCATTATCATTATCATCACCATCACCAATATTATCACCGTCATCATCACCACCACAATCCTCATCACCATTACCATCATCACCATAACCATCATCACCATCATCATCACCACCACCATCCTCATCACCATCTTCATCATCATCACCATAACCATCCTCATCACCATCCTCCTCCTCATCATCACCATCATTATCACCATAGCCATCATTATCACCATCATCATCACCACCCCCCTCATCATCACCATTTCCATCATCATCACCATCTTCATCATCATCACCATAACCATCATCACCACCATCATCATAACTACCACCCCCCTCATCATCACCATTTCATCATCATCACCATCATCATCACCACCATCTTCATCATCATCACCATAACCATCCTCATCACCATCCTTCTCCTCCTCCTCCTCATCACCATCATTATCACCATCATCATCACCACTCCCCTCATCATCATCACCACCACCATCCTCATCACCATCCTCCTCCTCGTCACCATCATCAGGACTGCTGCCATGCTGGCATGACCTAGCAGATCTAGTCCATAGTGCTCAGGAAGGAAACAAAGGAGAAACCCAGGGCAGGAATTGTGTAGCCTGTGAGGCATACATGGAGGGTGCATTTGGAGACAGCCACTCTCTCCCAGCCGCCTTCTGACTTCCAGAGGGTGAGAGGAGCCGTGTGGGCCTTAGGGCTGGGAAAGGAGGTGGCTTCAGAGGCAGTAGCAGAAGCTGTCCCCCGAAGAGCCATAGGAGCCATAGGTGGTGAGTATGAAAAGGCGCCAAGTAACTCCCCTGAGAGGGCAGACAGCGGGTCTCCCTCTTGCTACTCTCAAGGCCTAGCTGTCCCATGCTGGAATTCTGGCTCTCCTGGCAGGCCCTGCTTCAACCAAGCCAGGGAGCAACCCCAGGAAGAGAATAGCCAGCAGTTAGTTGTCCAAGGGCCCCTCACTTGACAGGGGAGCTGTCACACAGCCTCTTGGGAAATTTGTATGTGCTCAGCTGAGGAAGAGAAGGGTTTGTCCTGAAGCCAGCTTTTCCTGCCAAGTTCAGCTGCAGACCTCACTCTGCCCTTAGTGGTGCAGGGAGCTAAAACCAGGGACAGAGAGGGCAAAGAAGGACAGGAGGAGGGAGAGGACAGAGCCTGCTCATGAACTTGCCTCCCCTGGCTCAGTATGCCTGGATGTCTCTGTGTCATCCACCACCCCCCTCCGCCCTCCGGGTTCCAAGGCCTTCACCATAAGAACAGTCACCATCTTGGAAGGGCTAAATCTATTCCAAAAACAAAACAAATAAAATCCCTCCAAGGTCCTGACTGACACTTTTAACCTTCTTCTAACTTCCAGAGCTATAGGGGGCGGGGGGGTCTTGCTTCACAGATGAGAAAATAGAGGCTCAGAGAAGTGA